AGATGGCATACTCATTTTGAAGGTGAGGCAACTGAAGTGCAAAGATACTGAAGTGGCCTTCCCAAGATCACAGAGCAAAGATATGCCAGAGCTGATGTCCTAATCTCTTTGGACTGCTATAACAAAATACCATAAACTGTGTGGTTTTTAAGCAACAGAAATTTATTTCTCACAGTTCTGGAGGCTGGGAAGTCCAATATCAAGGTGCTCCCAGATTTTTTCCTCTGGTGAAAATCTGCTTTCAGATGTATAGATGACACCTCCTTGCTGTGTCCTCCTAGGGTTGAAGGGGCAAACAATCTCCCTTAGGCCTCTTCTAATAAGGGCACTAATCCCATTCATGAGGGTTCTGTCCTCATGACATAATCACCTCTGAAAAGCCCCACCTCATACTACTATTAACTTGGGAATTAGGATTTTAATTTATGAATTTTGATGCGATACAAACATTCAGACCATAGTAGGTGGGCCCCCAGAGAACAATGCTCGCCAACCCAGAGACCAAACTCAATTCTTTTCTCTTGTATTCCTGTGAGATACAGAGCTGAAAAACACTATGCAAAATAGCACTCTTGCCATTCTCTCCTCCCTGGCAATTTTGAGACCTTGGGTAGAGCCTTTTGGACCGTAGTTCTACTTTTTTAGAAGCATGTGACTCTCTCTCATCTCACAGGCAATTAAAGAGCACATAACCTCTTCTCTCTAGCTTTTACTTTTATCTCCATATCCTCCCTCCATCCCTACCCCCATATGGGCCACAAATGTGCTGGGATCATACCAGTAACATGATAGAGAACCAAAGAAACATTAAAATCAGTCTGAGCCATCAAAATTAAAGTAGGAACCAGAGTAACAGCAGCCATGGCAAAAGGAACAATGGATGACTGTCTCCTGACATGCGAACTAACTTTATGACTAGCCAAGAACTGCCCCACGGCTCGGCGCCTATAGCTCAACCGGCTAAGGCGCCAGCCACGTACACCTAAGGTGGTGGGTTCGAATCCCCAGCCCGGACCCGCCAAACAACTATGACGGCTGCAACCAAAAAATAGCCGGGCGTTGTGGCCGGCGCCTGTGGTCCCAGCTACTTGGGAGGCGGAGGCAGGAGACTCGCTTGAGCCCAGGAGTTGGAGGTTGCTGTGAGCTGTAATGCCACAACACTCTACCCAGGGGGACAGCTTGAGGCTCTGTCTCAAAAAAGAAAAAAAGAACTGCTCCAGTAAGAAAATGAAAGTTTGAGCTGGGGAAAGTAGGGAAGAGAGTAACAAGTATTAGGACTTGGTTCCAAGAGTGGGAAGAAGGGGAGTTTCAGGAGGGATTGAAAAGATATACCAGAGGAAGCAGGATAGGACTGCTTGGTAAGTTCGCCAGTTGTTCTGGAGGGCGAGAAAAAGCCTGTGCTGAAGTTATTCACACTGAGATGTTAGCAACAACATGTAGCCTCTTGCAGAAGTCTTGGGATTACAAAATCTGGTTGAAAAAAGGCAATTATTTAACAGAAAGGAATGGACCTTTAATGGTGACATCTCAGTCATCAATGAGAGAAAAGGTGCTAAGAGATATTTAGGATAAAGTGGTGTTTTCTGAGAACCGCAGGAGTCATAGTTCTGCCTACATACTTTAATAACACCATCCCTCTCCTGGGAAGAAGAAGCCAGTTCTTTCCCAACACATTGGTAGTCATATGGCCTAGTGCTTTTCTGTTTACCCATGATGTCCTCCCTCCACTCCTCTTCATAGTGCTGTGTGAGGATTTAACTGGAGACAGGAGAGATGGGGGAGGCTAGAAGCCTTGCAGCCTGGTCATTCGTGGTACAGCATACCCCAAGGGGTCCTGGAGCCAGCTTTGCTTTGGACTGATTTTCTGCCAGTACTCAGTCAGAAACACTGAATGTATTCCAAGGATAGTTGGTTAGAAGCCTAGCCACCTTGGAAAATCTGGGAAGGGAAAGGTTAGAGTAGGAGGTGTCTTTTCTTGCTTCTGTGGTTGGGAAGCATGCTGTGTTGGCTCTCCAAAGACTCAAAGGGAAATGTGAGTCTCACTCATATCCCGTTCTTAGATAGAAAACATAAGGTCCAAAGGGGTAAAGTGCCTTGTACAAGATCTGGGGGAGTCAGTACCTGAGTTGGGATTACAACTCAGGAATCCTGTCCCGAAGTTTTAACACCCACCTGTGACAGAGCACAAATTTGAAGGCAGGAGAACCATCATGCTGAGTTTGGCTCACCTATTAAATAGCTATGTGAAAGGACTCAAATCTTTGGGGGTATTTATTTTCATAATTCTCTCCCCTACACCATTAAGGATGTTACAAGAATTAAATAAGAATAAATGAGAAGATCTTGAGATAATTTTATTGCATAAAACTAGTCTTAAGCATGACTATAATTAGTTTCTTTTTCTTTGATTCTGTTGTGTCGTCCTTTCTTTCCCTTCCACCCCATCTCCTGTTGAGTAGAATAATAGACTCCGGTGCCAGGTTACTCAGAAGACTATTACAAGGAAGATTCTCAAGATCTTGCTTCCACTGGAAAATCTCACCCTGCAGTTGCCTTGCTATTGATCTCTTGGTGGAAGGCCTGGTTCAAAAATTAATCCACATTCCTTACTGGCAAAATAATTCCAATTCTTTTTTTTTTTTTTTTTTTGTATTCCAAAGATCTGCCAGCTTCTGTAAGAGCCACGACAAATATTATTTTGTAGGTCACTGTAGTTTTCCTTCACCATGAAATGCTGAGATTTGGAATAATTAGAGCCCAGGGGGCAAATGGCCCTGCTTCTGTCCTTTCTCTGATGGGTTTTACTCATGTCTGCCAGCTGCAGCTGTCTGGTTGTACACACTTGTGAGCAGGGGCGGGGCCTCTTAGTCCAGACAGAGTCAATTAGTAGGAGTTAAACTCTTTCTAGGAGCAAAGTCGTCTTCTTTTTAAAGCCAAATTGAGGGGTCATTAGCAAGTAGTTAACACTCAAGGAATGAGTTACTCAGAAATTGAGGCTAGATCAACTTATATAGTAAACCATAGAATTGGGTTAGTTACCTAAATCATTAAAGGCAAAGAAAGTGCAGTATCTATTTCCTAAGTATTTTAGTCCACACATTCTAGAGGGACAACATGGACTTATGTTCCATTAGTATGGATTTGGGTTTTAAACTAAATGGTCCCTTCCTTGTTAGATAGGTTTGAAATGACTGGCACTCTTTTTCATAGTGGTGAGGAGGGGAAATTCTAGAGTCAGTCAGACCTCAATTTATATTCTGGTGCTGCCATGTAGAAGTTGTATGACCTTGAATGAGTCAATTTCTTAAGTGTTGGTTTCTTCATCTGCACAATGGGCGTAACTATAATGTCTACATCAGCATGTTATTAGTAGGAAACAATGAGATGATGTATATAAACACACTCACCATGGTACCTGGCATGTAGTTAGGACTCAATAAAAGTTATCTATTGTTATAATACTATGATTATGGGTATTATTGTTAGCCTTTATCATTTTCACTATATCCATAGAATAATTTGTTTATTTAAATAATTGTATTGAGATATAATTACCATAAAAATAGATTCATTATAATTTTGACTGATGGACGGAAAGGGTCATCCAATTCTTTAAGCTCTCCCTGATGAAACATGTACCATGTTTCCCCGAAAATAAGACGCTGTCTTATATTTATTTTTTCTCTAGAAGACACACTAGGGCTTATTTTCAGGGGATGTCTTATTTTTATTAAGTATAATACAACAATCTACATTTATTCAAATACAGTTAAGTCATCTTCTTCTGGAACCTGAGAGGGGGAGCCAACCTTGTTGGTGGGGCTGGCACTAGTGATGCATGAACTCCTTTCCCCTAGCTGTTCGCACGTGCGCAATAAGATGCCTATGACCTCAGTTACCACCCGCGCCAAGTGTGAACTGTTCAGAAAAAGGAGCTGTGGCAGATAAAAGGTTTCTAGTCTTCCTTACCATGTATCTGCATAGCCATGCCAATCACTGGGTCTTATTATTGGGGTAGGGCTTATATTTAACAAATGCATAGAAATCCTGCTAGGGCTTATTTTTTAGGTAGGTCTTATTTGGGGGGAAACATGGTAATTTTCATAATTTCTCTTCCTCCACTATTTCATGACAGGTACTTTCTAAGCCTTGCTAATATCTACTGTTGATTTTTATTCCCCTTTTCACCACTCCACTAACTTTGTGACTTTAAATAAGTCACTTAACCTCAGTGACTTCTTTTCCTCAAATGAAAAATAAAGGTGAATTTACCACACTTGATTCACAGTGTGTCTGTGAGGCTCCATTGTAATAATATATATGAAATCTCCATGTAAATGGTTTGCTAGGTTACTATAATTCACAAATATGAGTTCCAATAATATTCAGGTGCCAAACTGTGCTTCATGAATCAGATGCCATGAGAGGTCCAGAGTGTGGCCCGGAGTTATTAGGGAATGCTTTGTGGAAGAAAGGGGATGTGAACTAAATCTTCAAAATCTGGTAGAACTTTACTTGGTGAGAAAGAGTGGGTGAAGTGGGCAATCTTGGTAGAGGGATTAAAAACAAGCAAAAACTACAGAGGCTAGTACAAGCATACAGGCATACCTCACATGATATAAAATGTGGGAGGGGATAAAGTTTCTAGGCTTTTCTGAAACAACAGTGGGAGAAAGAGTGTGGACTCTCCCCTTTCAGGTGAGTTAATATCTTATTTATCTAGGACTTTAGCGCCATGTAGGCAGAGATGTTATCTGTGTTCTCTGATCTCTCAGCACACGGTAGGTGCTCAATGAATGCTCAACACGTGAAAGAATGGATGGATGAGAATATCATTTGCTGTTCTTGTCTGGCCACTTTAATATTATCTAAAATCGCTAGCCACCGGAGCAAGGACTTCTACTCCCTCTATGTAGTACAGCCCCACCTGCTGTTGAGATTTATGAAATTCTTTGAAATGATGCCAATACTCAAGGTGGTTTTTCTCCACTCTGTTCCAGAAGACTCCTTACCCCCAGTGAACAATAAGGTGACCAGCAAGTCGTGTGAGTACAATGGGACCACTTACCAACATGGAGAGCTTTTTGTGGCTGAAGGGCTTTTTCAGAACCGGCAACCCAATCAGTGTACCCAGTGCAGTTGTTCGGTAAGACCTTACTATCCCCTATCCGAATATGAGAATTTCTCCTGTGCTTGTAATTTTTATTGCACCTACACTATAAGGTGTTTGAGTGAAAGATGAGTTGCATTTAAATCATAAGCCTCCCTGCCAGTCCAAACTCCTTACCCTTCATCAACACCGGGTAGTTCTGTTGAAGAGCTCAGACTCAGTTATATCCAGTCTTAAAGTTGTAGGATTGCTGAGATGGGCAAAGATGAGTGGTTTGTCTTGATCTGCACTCATTTTCCTAATAGTTATACTACTAAAGCCTTTATCTAAAGGACTCAGAATTAATTGAAGCCTTGTGGAATAGGTGGAAAATCATTGTCACCATCAAGGGCCACTGAATCCAATTCACAGGAAAATGGGGGTATTCATTGGTTGCCATCTCTGACGTATTCTGCTAAGCCATTAGTTCCCAGTGCCTTGTAATGAGAAAACTCTATAAATGCTTGATCACAATGATTCTCAGGGCATTACTTGTCAAAAGAACTGTGCTTACCTTATGAATAACATATACCAGTATCTTTACCTAATTGTGCATTCTAGAAAATACATAGAACTAGAAGTTGAAGTAAAATGGATGTTTAAACTCAATCATAAAAGAGTGAAATTAGATGTAGAAACAAATTTTCTGCCTATAAGGGGCACTGAACATTGGATTGCCAAGTTATATAGAATCTCTTCCCTTTAAGATTTTTAGCAAAGATGTGGAATCTTAGTAGTTGGAGAGCATTTAGTTGTGGCCTTGCTTTCCTAATGACCTTTTAGAACCCTTGTAGCCCCAGAAGATCTACTTCTGAGAAATAAGAATAAGCTTTAAGGAATAACATTTGAAAGATATAATTTTAGGAAATGAAGATTATTGGAAAGACAGATCTAAGCAGCAAGTAAATTTGATCTTCTTCCTTGCCTTGTGCTGGACTGAGCTATGAAATCCAGATCATCTTGCATAGTTTTAATTACCCTCAGCTAACTTGTCTCTTTGGTTTGAAAAGGAGAACCTAGTGAATGTTACAGATTGCGACTATGACACAAATCCTCATTCCTTTCAACCTTCAACACCCATTTAGGGTGCGATGGAGACCAAGGGCTATAGTGAACAGACAAGAGATGAAGAAAACTATATTGGGTGATTTGGAGGCCCATGGCACCCTCATGGACGCTTTGTGCTACCTTAGACCAAGATGCCTGGCTATGCCTTAGTCTCTGGCATGGACGAATTATAAATAAAAAGATAAAATGCATAATAACATGTAGGCAGCACCTAGAACCACCTATGGGAGAGCAGTAGGGAAGGATATGCTGTGTTTTGACCCCCTGCTCTATTCAGGTACTGAGAAAAGGTTTTACACTTACCCTGATCCTTCTGACCTTAATTCTGTTTCTCCTTGGCAGGAGGGGAATGTGTATTGTGGTCTCAAGACTTGCCCCAAGTTAACCTGTGCATTCCCAGTCTCTGTTCCAGATTCCTGTTGCCGGGTGTGCAGAGGTAGGTGTCCCAGATCCTAAGACTCGGGGTGCTGCCATCCTGAATAACAGAACTTAGAAAAGAGGAAAATACCTGTCCAGTGTCCTAGAGAAAGGAGAATTTTTTGTAGTAGCCTTAGTTTTCAAAGACTCTTTCATTCACAGAAGGAAAAAAAAATAAAAACACTGATTTTAAGGGCCACAGCCTAAAAGAAACTGTGCCCTAAAAGAAACACAGCAAGGGAGTATGGGTAGAAGTCATGTAATGTGAAAGTGAACGTCTTTATCTCTCCTTCCTTAATCCCTTCTAGCCTGGTCCCTAAATTATTGTATCATAAAACACAGACCATTTTCTCGCATAGCCTTAAAAGGAAGAGTAGACCTTGCAACACTTTGATCTGACCATTCTGAATACTGTGCAGGACAAATTTAGGTATTTTTTTTTTTAAAAAAAGCACCACAGTAAAATGGTGACAGACTAAAAGCAAAACAGAGAGCATCATCTTTTCAAATTATATCCAAAATGGAGTCGCCATCTTCTCAAAACAGTCCTCTTCTTTGGGTTGCTTTTCTCCCTGCATCTAGGTTTCTGGGATCACACTTAATTGCCTTTAATTCCTCCTTTGTTGCCTCTTCTCAAATTACCAAATCTGTCAGCAATCTTCCATGTGTCTCCCTTCTCCCACTTACCCACTGGCGGTGTCTTAATGTTGTCTTCTTTCCTTCCATCCAGTCAACATATTAGTTGAGTGTCTACTGTATGGTCAGCATTATGCTAGAAGTTGCACATATACTGGTATATACAGGGCACTCTTAGACCACATGACATCTTTATGTGAATTACAAAATGATTCCCTAACTTAAGATACTTCATGGGCATTTTCCAGAAAATTGTTTGGTTTTTTTTTTTTTTTTTTT